CCAGTCCTTTTATATCAGATCACTGCCAATTTACTACAAAAAAAAAACGGGCACGGCTATTCAGGTGTGCGGTGTACAGTACTTACGTACCTGTTTGTGAAAGCCGTCTAGGTCTTCGCCCCCTTCGAACTGTAACCATATCCACTTCGATCAGTGTATTATGTTTCCTGGAAAATACGTGCAAATTTCGTCACATTATATTGTGTCCACATTTTTTACTACGCCACATATAATATCGAAAGACCCTATTGTTCTTTTTTCGCGTCGTAAGTTACTTTATCAATATAAAGTTTAGCCACAACATGCTCCCAGTATTACGCTAAATGATTACCATTCATACCGATCATTCCAATATTTATTAGTTCTTAAAGAACTCAGAAGCAGTGGCGCCATAATTGAATAACTTTTTATTTTAAATATCAAACATTTATTTAGCATTGTAAATAATGGTTTGAAAACCAAAGACGGGAAAGGAATGTGAATATTAATATCTTGCTCAGGAAATTAACGTTAAATAACAACATCGCTTGTAAATTAATTAGCTACCAATCACTATACCATAATTCATTGTAACAGTGATGTTATTTTTAATAATTAATAATATTTTCATTAACATGTTTGACAATTAATCATTTTCTATTTCATTCTTTCGAATAATTGAATTACAAAAAACGAACAAAATTGTTATTCGTCGAATGCTTCTGTTATTTAACAATGATTCATAATTACATTTATTAACGCAACCAATATAGCCAGTAGAGATAGACCATGTAACAACTAATTATAACAATAATTACAACATACTCCTATATAACGCAAAAAATACTTTCGCGTTATAAGAATGTCATGTTTACGAATTTACGTATTATTTTATCATGAAGAATCTCGCTTTTAGTCATTTTCAACAATTCTTTGAACCTGTTACACGGGGTTTTACTATATTCAAATAAATTCTTATTCGATTAACTACATTCACGAATAAATTGTAATCATACTCTAGTCTAAGTTTTGCTCGTTATTTTCAATCCTAAAACGATATCCTGAAACGTTTCTAGAAATGAACGCAACTTCCTACATGGGTTACTGCAAAAGTGTCGAGAAAGTATGAGAAAAGTCACAAATAAATGTGAACTAATGGTTTCATTATTTTTTAAAACATCCTTCCCCGACATGAACACGTTTTCATTTTGTTGTGTCAGCATTTTTTAACCTTTAAGTATGGATATGCGATCTCACGGATTTCTACATAAAATATAGTGAATTTTGAAACTACTGAAATGTTCGTTATGCAAGTTGTTTATTTCGAAAGTGACTTAAGCCCATTTTTAAAAAAAATCAAGTTAATGGTTCTAATAGTTACAATTCTACATTATCTTTTTATTTGTAAATGTCTTTTCTTTCCTTTTTAAATAGACTCAAGCCACTTTCAGGATGAACGGTTCATACAGTTAATACTATTGTTATGCAGAGATATTTAAACAAATAGGAACAAATAAATTCAATAAATTTGTTTATTAGTTGCTACAAACGAGAGTATTTAACATTAATCGGCAATCTTCAGACTTCGATACTTATAGATTAAATTCAATTCCATGCTTAAAGGTTAACTTTAAAAACGAAGCTTTACGACAATAACATGAACCTCTGAATGACAGCGGGTTCGCGAAACTTTTGCAATAACCTACGTACAACGATCGTAAACTGAATTCGGATAAAATCGTTTCCATCGAGTCGCCGCGCGCCGCTAGTGTAAGTACACATCAGTAAAGTACACGGGCCTTCTTCTGTTTCGCTCGTTTTTACGGTCAACATCGTCGTAACGATGATCGCGATGTTCGTCCTGGCTGGCAGCCGCGTCAAGAGGGGTCCCAGAGCGTCGTTTCACGGCAACCGTATGCCCTCCTCGCTAGGAAATAAGAAATTTTCTTGAGAGATGCGAGCCTCTGCGAGGGAGGAGGCCTAGCCAAGCGAACATAGTTAATTTAGATTGTATCGCGTGAGAAGCAGGAAATGACGAAATATCCTGAGTGCTGACTTATACACGCCGCATCGTGTGTACCTGGGCTCGTTCCTCGGCCGCGTTGCTCCTCGACTCTTCGCGACCTCAGCCCCTCCGACCGCCGACACGCAAGGATGATACTCTTTTTTCCTATCCTCGCCTACCCGTTGCACCTATTTTTATGTTGATCGCGCGGCCTCCGCGCGGTGAGCGGTGTTACCGTGAGAATTTTGACCAAAGTCGCCTTGGAAAAGTGCCTCGGTCTTTCCTTTTTCTTTTTTTCAGAGAGATTCGAGAGGTTCGGCAGTCCAGGACGAACTGGATGTTTGTGGGTCCTTGTCATTATAGCGAATAGAAGTGTCTCGAAAAAGATGGAAAGTAGAATGTTATTTGAAATCCGGCGGAGTGTTTTAGTTTCAGTTTATCGAAGCTATTAGCGAAAGAAAGGAACTGAAAGAAACGGATTTTCGTTTTCTTTCTGACTGGGAATAATAAGTTGGCACGTCATTCAGATTTAGTTTCGTTTCGTAGTAGTTCATTTTCGTGTTTATTCAATAAATGGTTTTTGCATTTCGTTAACCCATAATGTCCGTGCTAGTATTATACAAATCATGCAATGCTGAAGTGAATCATTGTACAGTGTTTACTATATTAATTTAATTCTCCTCGAATTATGCTTTCAGGAGTGCTCGTGTTTAGAAAATACACAGTATTATATATATATATAATATATATATATATATATTGTTATTTTTCATGGTTATAATTTCAATTCATGTAAAGGATACATAAAGAATGGAGCTGTACAAACTAACTATCGATGAAACAGGTTTCCAATTGTGTATTTTAACCCCTTGCCCTATGATTTCTTTCACAACTGTGCTTGATAAAACTAGGTACTTTATCATTAATAATTTAGTAGGAAAAGGAAAATATTGGTAACTATTCTGTGTTTATGTTTATTCTAATGGTTAAAAAATGCTAATAGACAAATAATATTTCATTTATATAAAAAATGAATAAATAACAATTTAGATTTGTCGAATTCGGTTGAAAATTTCCATCGCGAGTCTGACTCGACATTACAGGAGAAGGGGTTAAAAATAGACTATTAGGATACATAGTCGTATAACTGCATTTAATCAAAATCAACGTAAATATTTACCGAATGACATTTATAAAATTGAATATGCGTAAAATTGCGTAAACCTAGTGTTAAAGCACCTGAAGCGCGTAGAAGTGTGAATATTCATTTAGTTCATTCGGTTTAAGAATAAGAATTCACGTCTCCGTTTCGCGACAGCGACTTCACCAGCCACTCGCGAACGCCGACCTTCGTTCTGGCTACACGTCAATGGGTACAAATCAAAAAATGGAAATATTAAAATGAACGACGCGTGTATATTGTTACATAGGTACGATGGATCTCGGCGTCGACTCACCGTTTTTTCACGAACCGTAAGCGGATATGACGCAGGAATAATTTGTCACAGCCGATTGGAGACGGAGAGCATAATGAAGACTTGGGTTCCGAGTAGGCCACAATCGGTACGAAACAGGTACGTATACATAGGCGCGAGTTGCGTGAACGTTTTGCGGTACTGCTTGGGAAACGAAACCGAGCACGGTAAAACTTCTGTTATCACTAAACGTACCGACACTCTGTATAGAACTATTTCTACCGTAGCTAGTCAAATGATTGGTTATAAAATAACAGTAAACAGGTTAGACTATACGTTTTTCTTATTAGACACATAAACAGAAGGAAAGACAAAAATTGAAAAGCTGATTAATCGGACAATGTAAGAATTTTGCCCAAAGGGTGGGGATGCTTATGCAAGGTCGTCCAGGATGAAAAGAAGATATATGCAAAGTTTAGATGTGTTTAGTATTAAACGAGGTATAATTTAATCCGAACGATTAAATTCTAATTTAACCAACAGTCTCAACAACCTAGATCTCAGGGAAGTAATGACTCAATTAATCGAAATCCTATTATACTTAATCGCAGATTCATATTTCGTTTTCTTTTCGTAAAGAAGTGTACGTATGTAAATAATATACAGTGAGTCACGAGAGTATTCGTACCTCTTGAACTGCCGACTTTGAACAATTGTTATTTGTTTGCAGTGAAAGTTTCAAAGTTCTTGTCAACAGGCGTGTATGTTGGAATTACGAAGCTTTCAAACTTATATATACTTTATTGCAAAATAACATGTCAATATAATAAAAATGTAATTTCACGTAAACAGGAACAAAACTGGCCTCTGAAGAGTATTCGTACCTATACAAGTTATACTAAAAATACAGTTATTGTATTAATAACTAATATTTCGTTGGGTATCCTTTGCATTTTATAATACTTTTAAGACGATCAGGCATGAGAACGATCTAAACCATCAGACTTGTGAGACCAATTTTATTCCTGTTTACGTAAAATTACATTTTTGTTATATTGACATGTTGTTTTACAATAGAGTATATGTAAGATTGAAAACTTCGTAATTCCAACATACATGCCTGTTGACAAGAACTTTGAAACTTGGATTGTAGACAAATATCAAACGTTTAAATTCAGCAGTTCAGGAGATATAAATACGTTTGTGACTCACTGCACATATATTATTATAATAATTTTCTGCGTTATTGTTCTACAGAGAAGAATTAGAAAAACGCTTTTAGCTCATATATACTCTAAGAATAGACAGAAGGATTAAGGTCACGTATTTAATCTATTGCAGTTTTAACTGTACATTAATAAATATATCGGCTTAATTATGTGAACAAATTATGAGGCATGAAATATTGTATAAAGTATTTCTACATAAATATGAATAAATTTATGGGAGGATTATATATTTACCTGAAACGTAGGAAGGAATTTCAGGTGAATGTGAGCAACAATAATTTGTTTAAATGTAAAAATATTTAAATGAATTCTGCAGAATTATGCCACTTAATCTGTTTTTATCAGAGAACATATACTTTTAGTATTTCATGAATACATACTTCAAGAAGCATCCGGAAATGGTCATTACAGTAAAAAAGCGATGATGGGGAAAACTATATATTCTCAAAGAAAAAAATTTACGATTCCCATTTATAGGGTTATTATAAAAAAAATGCTTAACATACATTTAATCTCAACCGGTGCTATTTAATCTTATC